CCGGACATGGTGACTCATGCCTGCAGACCCAGCATTTTGGGAGGCCAAGATGGGAAAGCCCCTTGAATTCAGGAGTTTGAAACCAGCCTGAGCAATACAGCAAGACCCTGTCTCTATTTTTAAAAAGAAAAGGAAAAAAAAGAGGACACCAAGGAAATGTTAGGCAGGAATTTTGCCCTCAGAAAATATATGTGTCGTTCAGTAGAAGAGACTGGTTTGTACCTTAAAACAATTCTTCATCTGTATGGTTCGGTTTATGTGTCAATGGCTCCCCCAGGAGCAAGCCCAAACTCCTTAATCTGGCATTCAAAGGTGTTTATCATCTGGTTTCCCACCCACTTTCTACTCAGCCACATTTCTTGCCACTTTGGTCTTGCATTGCATATTTCCACAACTCTTGAAACTGGCTTAAGGATAGGCCCTTAAGGGAGCACAATCACTAAGGCTTTCTGACACATGAAATCTAGCAAGTCACAGAGAAGAGAATTGTCAGAGAGGGCTTCTTGTGAGATCCTCTAATAAACTGCTAAGGGTGGGAAGTGATATCCTCCAGGGGCATGTTTAGGTAACATTTAAAAAGAAAAAAGAAATCCAAACTGCTTTCTAAGAAGAATAGGTTCACCTCATATCAGAGTTTTGTTTGAGTCAGGGACCAAGGAGTTGACTTGCTTGGGAAAACAGAGAACAATTGCATACTGCCATCAGAGAGCCCTCTTTATCCACTGTTGTAACATCTAGCCTCTCCTCTAAACGAAATTAAACTGGTTAAAAGTACCCAATTATTAGCCAGCTGACAGTGGGCTGGCCATGGCTTACTGAACCACCTGTGTTCTCCGGATTTCCCATGCTCTATACTTTCGACAGTTTTATCTGCAACTACCCCACTGCTACTCTCTATCAAGTTAATCTCAAAATGCAGCAAAAGCTATTGCCTCCATCATAAAACACTCCCTGACTCCATGCTACCCTCTGGCCTAGCCTGCTCTGTATTAAGTGTCAAGCCTTTGTGTTCCCATTGAGTTTGATGTACATCTCTTATCCCAGTACTTTATTATAATAAGCTCTCGGTGTCTGGCCCCTTCACTAGGCTCCCTGATGGATATGAGCTGTGTCTTCTTTTTCTATGTACTAAAGCATCTCTCCTATCTACTGGCCCTTTGGGCACATTAGTTCCTTTTTCTTAGGATAGGAAAGTGAGAGATCACTAAGAATACGTGAGGAGTTGGATTCACATAAAAAAGACCGGGGTTGGGTCCTGGCCAATGGGTGAGCTATGATGGCATCACTGCATTCCAGCCTGGGTGTCAGACTGAGACCTTGTCTCAAAAGCAAACAAACAAAATGTAACTGGATAAGTGGACAGAAATCGTGGTTGCCATTCCAGCTGTGAAATCAAGTCTTCTGAGAGGCTGTACAAATTTACAGGAGAAGATTGTTTTCATCACATATTCTACCCCCAACTCCTCACAGAAAGTCCCCAGATAGTGAGGTCTGGTTCAAGGGGTATTCACAGCATAAGGCAGGAATAGCTGGAGGTTAACCAGAATGGAGGGCCTTTGGCCTTTGTAAACGCAGCTCCCCCACACAGGCCTCACGTTCCTATCAGTGGTCCGTTTCTTGACTCGTGGGTTGAGATTATTTTGTTGACAATGTGGAGATTACTTCAGAGAGTGGTGCTCAGTGCTGTTAGGTGATGAAGTGGATGAAGGATAGAAAGTATTGAGCAATACCTCTTTTTTGGACAGAGTGTTTCTGAAACAGAAAAATAGCAGATTTTTCTAGATATTTTTATCTAGAGTCTTCTATTTCTTGAGACTTTGGAAGGGAGGAGAAAGAGTCAAATGATAAAGACGAGAATGCTGTGAGAGATTTTTTCTGGAAAAACAACTTTTCGACAACGTTTCAAGAGAGGAAAATTACACATATACTCTTAAGGTGTTTCATGTACGTCTGCAAAGCAGATTAAGGTGTGCTCATAGAGCAAACCCTGATGTCTACAAGAATCTTAATAAAAACTGATGCCTACGAAATGAGTGAGAGAGCTAAACGTAAGAGCTAATACAATAAAACTTCTAGAAAAAAGCCTGGAAGAAAATCTTCATGACAATGGGTTAGGCCAAGATTTCTTAGATTCAGCACAAAACGAATAGACCATAAAAGAAAAAATGGATCAACTGGACTTGATAAAAATTAAAAACTTCTCTCTTAAAAATGTTAATTACATTAATTCACTCAAGTGTTTATTATGTATTATGTGACAGTACCCCCTAGCTCTTGTACTCCGGCAATGAATTGCAGTCCCTTTATTATACTGGACTGGAGCAGGAAAATACACTTTAGAAAGATTTCCAGTAAGAAAAACATCCCTATTATTTAAAGTTATTTTCCATTTAAACTCATGGACAGGATCAAATACTAGAAAATGATGGAAAATGCTGAGAAATATGAATGTGTACCATTAGAAGCCGGGCACAGTGACTCATGCCTGTAATCCCAGTACTTTGAGGGGCTGAGGCCGGCAGATCACTCAAGGTCAGGAATTCAAGACCAGTCTGGAAAATATGGCAAAACCCCATCTCTATTAAAAATACGAAACAGCCAGGCATGGTGGCGGGCGCCTGTAATCCCAGCTACTCGGAAGGCTGAGGCAGGAGAATCACATGAACCTGGGAGGCAGAGGTTGCAGTGAGCTGAGATCGAACCACTGCACTCCAGCCTGGGTGACAGAGAGAGGCTCTTTCTCAAAAAAAAAAAAAAAAAGCATATATATATACATATGTGTGTGTGTGTGTGTGTGTGTGTGTGTGTGTGTGTACAATAAGCCTGACAGTTGGTATTTGTTTACTTTCATACCAGTTGAGCAAGAATCTTGGCAATGCAGATGCAGCATAAAGAATATTAGCGCTTTAGAGGACAGCCTGAGATCACATTTCACTCTATATTATTTCACTATATAGGACTTTAGAGTCAGGAAGGGCCACATTTGAAAATTAGTTTTTCTACCACCTGTGGGATCTGAGACTCTGATTAAAATGTCTGTTTTATAGAATAGTTGTAAGAATCAATGAGGCAATGAGCAAAGTGTAAAGTGCAAGGCACATAACTGGACCTCAGTAAATGCAAACTATCATTAGATGATGATGGTGGTGATGAGAAAATCCAATCAGGTTCCGAAAGTTGACCGGGACTAGGCAGCTTACTTGTTCGTGAGAAATGTGCATCCTTCCCCGTGGCAATCTTAGGGTCTAAGGGAAAAATGACGGTACTTCCTCTCCTTTCCCCATTCTGTGCCCATGGCAAGTATCACCAACCAGACCACCCTAGCATTCTTCAATTCACCTGGACTGAGCTCCAAATTCTCATCTGATCCATATACAGTTGTTGGTGGAGATAAGAAATATCTGCCATTCTGATTTAAGGCTTCAGTGGACATTCCCTCCAGACCAGGAAGACTGATTGTAAGTTCATCTTTCCTACAAAGATAAAGGCCCAAGTCTAGCCTAAGGAGAGATGACTAGGAGTTTTAGAAGGAGCCTAGTCACACTATTGTACAAGTTTATTTCTCAAATAATCAGTTTGTTTTTTATTTAAACTCTTTTTCTGTTTGACATTTGCAAGTACTTGACTTGTGGGATTTCTTGAAAGCAGGTTCCTAACTTCTCAGATCCTAGAGTCACACACCCCCTGCCCTACCTTATAAACATTAGAGATGTTTTTCCTTAGGCTACAAGGGACTTGGACTCTCTCTGACCAGAAAATAACTCTGTGAGGCAGAAAAGACAAAAACCTACCAGGTCAATGATCTAATGATCTGATGATCTGATCAGCCAGGGGCAATTGTACTCAAAGGGGCAGAACCAACCCTAAGGCATGGTTCCCAACCTTGGATACTAAATAAACTCAGCAGAAGAGCTTAAAAAACCCTGAGGCAAGGTGGCAGCCATGCCTGACCAATTACATCAGAGTCTCTGCAGATGGTACCCAGGCACCAACTGGTATTTGAATTAAAGTTCCTCAGCTCATTTTAATGTGCAGCTAAGGCTGGCAGAGAACCTTTGTCCAAAGGTGTTGTGGAAATCTGCAAAGTATCCCTGGTATCCCAGTAATTGAGGCAAAAGTGTCACTGGCATTTTCTCGGCAGGGATATGGGTTCAATGTTGTTACAGTGTCTGGGACTGCTCCCTCACAGTGAAAAGTCTTTTGAATGTCCTGCTGGATAATTGATAAACTTGAAAAGCTGATATGATCCGGAACTTTACCTTACATATAAACACAAAGCATTTTTTGCATGGTTTTAATTCATGTACATTGCATTTTCCCAGAATGTAACCAACACATAAATTCGGGTAGAATTATACTTTACTCTACTTAAAACTTCACTGAGTTGCTTACCTTTCTAGGTAGGCACATCACCAAATCAACACCACTTTCGGTGTTTGAGTAGTCAGCATCTGTAAATGCAATTTTCATGGTGATTCTGTGTACCAGTGCCAATATCTGATGATCTCATTGTGCCCAGATGTTTACTTATTGAAATGTATTTACTTCATTGTAAAACATATCTATTTCATGTCTCTTTATGACAAAATATTGATTCTTGAATATTGTGCCTTCAGGTGGATTATATAATCTGAATTTCATTTCTGTGAAATGTGGTATTACGGAATATTTCTTATAAAAAGGTAGCTTACATTGCTATCAGGTTAAGGACTTCTAATTTGGGGATTCCCTTTGTGATCTGTAATACACAAGCCCTCTTGGCTTGCATTGTTTGTTTAATGATCATGAAAATTCCAGCAAGCCCAATGCCAGGGGCGTTAACTTTGAGCAAGTTACTTCATGTCTCTATGCCTTAGCTTCCTCATATTAAAAAAATAGCCTACTAATAGTTAAGAGCTGTCAAGAGAATAAATTGAGATCAACCACAAACAGCCCTTAGCAACATTTCTGGCATGTCAGCAGCACTAAACAAAGGTACCTGTTTTGGTGATGATGACGGCGAAGACAATGACGATCGTGATGAGGATAAATTCAGTAGTACCAAAACCAGAGACTCCAATCCATCGCTCAGGCACGGACGTGGTCTCTGCAGTTTCTCTCTTCTTTTCTCAAGGTCAGATACTCCCCAGAGCAGATGACATGAGATGCCTCCTTTTGGATGGCAACAGCTTGCATGATCTCTGCTTCTTCATTCCTGTAATTGTTTTAAACAGTATTCATGGAAGAAATCTCAGGACCATTTCTGTTGGTGGCTAACAAATTGTTACAGGCTTTATCATGGTGTAAGCATTCTGCCAACTCAGAGACTTTGCATCTGGAGATATGCTACTATGATGCAATATTCAGTGCCTTTCAACATGGAACCTGGCGTATCACCTTTTTGTTTAATATTTTCCCCACTCTTCATCTCACTTATCATCCTTTTCTTTCATTCCAGTCTACATATAAACTTCACGAGAGAACTGTTTTCTCTTTGGAAGAATCTACCTTAGATATTTTGTGCTACCATGGGGACAGAAGGGCTAAAACTCTTCTTCAGTGGATAGTAAATAATCTCAGCCAGGATCACAGTTTCCTCCAGGTTTTCCATTCAGCCCTGACTTTGCTCAACTGGAATATTTGCAAATGAATAGACTCTGCTTTCCTCAATCAGAAAGTACATGGCTTTTGTCCTTGACAGAGCTCATCCGCTATTGCCATATATACTGTCAAGTTTTATAAGCGTAATGCAACCGACAGGTCTCTGTTCAGGAACAGGTCCACCATATAATTCAGTTCATCACCCAAAAAACCTTTAGTATTGTGGTAAGGGGTGTTGAGAGTGAAGCATAGCTAGCTGTGGATTTCCAGCTGAAGCAGCATTGAGAAGGTACCATAAGTATCCAATATGTTGGGGGCAGGATGATACAGAAACCATTCCAGATAGAGGAGAATCAGGTATATGTTAAAAGCCCTCAGAAATAAAGATTCCACAATCAATGCCAAATACCATCTTGTAAAAGAATTTCTTCTTACTTAAGGGGAGTTAGTATTATTAAGAACTTATTAACAGCCAGGAATATTTTACGTTCATTGTCTTAAAGAATGCTCACAAAAGCCCTCTGATTTAGGAACTCAGACAACTCCATTTAACAGATGAGAAAACTGAAGTTCACGGAAGTTAAGTTACTTGTCCAGGTAAGTGGCAGAATCTAGATTTAACCCTGGCATACTTTTCCCTAAATACCGAGAGATTAGCTACCATGCCTTATGCTACATTGCCTCACCTGAACACCCATGCTGTAATTTACACTCACTGTTTCTATTTGTTTCTGGCAGTCTTCCCCAGAACCCCAGAATACCAGACCAGCACCAACTAATGGAAATATAATGTGAGCCATGAATATGGGTCACATTTGTAATTTTAAATTTTCTGGTAGCCACACTTTTAAATATAAAAAGAAATGAGTGAAATTAAATATTGTATTTAACCCAATATATCTAAAGTATTATTTCAACATGAAGTCAACATAAAAATTACCTATGAAATAACTTCCACTTTCTTTTGGACTAAGCCTTTGCAATCCGGTGTGTGTTATTCACTTACAGCCTGTCTCAGTTCCAACTGTCCACGTTTCAATTGCTTAATAGCCACATGTGGCCAGTAGCTACCAAACCAAACATCACGAGTCTAGGTTCATAATCCCGACCCTCTTCATAATCTGTGGAGCTCTTGTTGAAAGTCCTTCAGAAGACAGGAACAGAATTGACAAGACAGAGCCTACTTTAAGTTAGTTGCTTTCGTCCAAGAAAAGAAAAGAAATAAACAATAGATTTCACAACTTCCATCTACAACCAGCAGTCAGCTTAGTTGCTGAAGGTCAGATGAGCAGCAGTGATGGAATCCACATCATTACATAACACGTGTCAGGTGTTTGCATGCTTTTAGAGGGGTGCTGAGCACAATATGAAGATCAGAAAGCTCCAGATCCCTGACCAGAGGGTGGCTCATGAATCCAGCTCACAAGGAACACCAGCAGAGCCACCCTTCACTCCCTCCCAGTCCTTCCTCTCCCCACTGTCACTCTCACCCCTGCCCCAGTTTGAAAGGCAAGATGCATGAGCCAGGCCTAACGAGTGTAGGACAGACCCCATGCTCCTCACATCCAGAGGGCGGAAAGATACCTCAGCACCTCCTTTCACCCTCCGCCCCTTGGAGAATCCTCTACCCCAGGAGTTCTCGAACTTTTATGCACAGCAGCATCACCTGGAAGACTTGTTAAAACTCTGATTCTGTGCCTTACCCCCAAGAGGTCTGAGGTGGGGACGGGGAATGTACATTTGTAGCAAGTTTCAAGGAGGTTGATGCTAGAGATCAGAGGATGACCACACATTGAGAACCCAAGGCTCATCCTTAAGTTATCAATATATCACTAACAACAAGAACAAACCTAAGAAAAGCACAGTGCCTTTTTCACTCGCGATAAAAATAAATGTGATTTTTAAATAGTTGATGTGTTTGGCTATTTCTCCCCTGCCCTCCATTATTTCCTCTAGTCCAGGGAGGGAGGAAGTAATCATAATGAGGAGACAAAGATGAAAGGGGAAAATGATCTAGAAATAGAAATTCCGTTTGACCCAGCAATCCCATTACTGGGGATATACCCAAAGAACTATAAATTGTTCTACTATAAAGACACACGCACACGTATGTTCACTGCAGCCCTGTGTGCAATAGCAAAGACCTGGAACCAACCCAAATGCCCATCAATGATAGACTGGACAAAGAAAATGTGGCACATATACACCATGGAATACTATGCAGCCATAAAAAACGATGAGTTCCTGTCCTTTATAGGGACTTGGATGAATCTGGAAACCATCATTCTCAGCAAACTGACACAAAAACAGAAAGCCAAACATCATATGTTCTCACTCATAGGTGGGTGTTGAACAAGAAGAACACATGGACTCAGAAAGAGGAACATCACACACTGGGGGCAGTTGTGGGGGATAGGAGAGAGACAGTAGGGGGTGGGGAGAGGGGGTGGGGAGGGACAACATGGGGAGAAATGCCAGATACAGTGTGCACCTAAAGTAAAACAAATAAATTAAAAAAAAAAAAAAGTATGAGGGCAGGAAAGCTGGCGGGAAATACGGAGAAAGACAGAGATAGATCACCAGAGTCCAGGAGAGTCAAGAATGAGGCAAAGCCTGTCCTCAGGGAAAAGGGCCGCACAGCCACCTCCAGACCCCTCAGCTGGGCGTGATGCACGGACTGCAGGCAGGCTTGCCCCCTTTCTTTTCAGTGGATCCACAAAAGCATCTCACGATGAGAGTATTCTCCTCTTTGCTTTTGAGAGAGGAAATCGTGGTTGAATGCTATGTGACGGTGGGCAGTTGCAAACCGCAAGAGGCTTGACACCTCCATTATGGGCCCCATAGAGCGCTTCACTCTCCCCCCGCTGCCTATGCGTGGGCTTTTTTTATCTTTAACCTTTCAGGGTGCCTGGGTTTTCAAAAGGGAGGCAGCGAGACTTGCTGAGTTGCAAGCAGCTGGGAATTTGGAATGCATCTTTGGAGATACACACTGAGCCTGGCTCAGAACTTCCAAGAAAACTCAGTGGGAGGGGAGGAAAAACAACGCAATGACATGACGCCTTGCAGGGCCCGCCTCGGCCTCACTGAACCGCCCAGAGATTGCATTCCAGCTGCACTGCGGTGACCCAATGTTCCAGTAAACAAGGAGGGGACGGGATGGAAGGACCTCAGATCAGGCTCCCCTGGAGCTGTCAAAATAGAACACAGGGGGCCTAGCAGGGCGGGGCATGGGGACCAGGAGGCCTTCGTGCACATCCTGGATCAGCAAGGCGCACCCACGGGGCCCACTGAACACACATATACACGTATTCACTTCCAATGGGACTGGGATAAATATCAAAAACTCACGTCCTAGCCTCAGAATGGCCCGAAACTGATGACCTCTTTAGGATCCTTCTTAGGAAGCTCGGAACACAAAGGGGGAAGTAAGGAGACACTGACTCAGGACAAGGCAGGCCGCTGACTAATGGCACCACTCTCTAAGCAATCCCGCTGCCTTCCAGAAAGACAGGCAGCCACAGCAGACGAGGACAGTCACTGAGTCCACTTCCCCATTCGATGCCACGGCATGGAAGAGCCGACCGATGGTCCCATGACTCCTCTGGCTTATCCCGCCCCTCCTGCCCCACCCCTGCACCCTCCTGTCTTCTCCTCTGTCTCCACTTCCATTCCACCTGCCAGCAAATGAGCCTGCGTGATGACGAAAGGGGTTCAGTAGAAACACGAGGAGGAGTGGCCTGGCTCAGACAGCACAGTTCTAGAAGCTCCTTCCCCGAGTTTCTCTCTCTCTGGGGTAACCTGGGGCTTTGCGACCCAAAGAGCCTAGATAGCTTGCACTTCCCACATAAACGTGAGCGTGATAGCCTACATTCCTCTATATGCCGTATGTCTAGGTGACCCAAGACTTTATCATCCACCCTGGGACGGCTCTAAGAATTAAAGGTAGTGCTCTTGAAAACAATTCCGGGACAAAGACATCAACCAGGACATAGGGCTGCCTGCGTGACGAGGGGCCCATTTACCATCCTGTGGGTCCTTCCCACCTTTCTCCACCTGGCCTGCTTCGCAGATGATGTATTTTTACTATGTCTGACTTGTCCTTTCCCTTTACTGGTTTTAGCCTATATTCCTTCATTTCCTTGTGTAACAATCACATTCAGACAGTTATCACATCTCTATTTTGAAGTAAACAGAAGGGAGTTTTGAAAACTTCCCATGTAAAAAACCGTGAGACCTTTGCATTAAGGGTGTGAGTGGTGTGTTACCGCAGCCTCCAGGAGCTGGTTTTCCATTCCAGAGAGTGACCACCTTCTGGACATCAGTGTCCAGTGGATATCGTTGGTGTTACTCACCAAACAGTCACAGCCCCAGTTTTTGGACAAGCAAAACTGTGGAAAATGGCGATTCTTGCTTGAGTACTCAAAGCAGGAAAAAGGCGTTCCTCATGCTATTTCCTTAACACTCATGACGATAGGACCTGCCTCCTCTCTGTCTCTCCAAGGTGCTTAATGCATCACGCATGTTTTCCATGTTTACAGCCACCCTGCAAGGTTCCAGACATCCTCATTTTACTGACTGACACTCTAAGTTGAATCCAGAAACGGAGAATGGCCA